TGATGGCAAATGCAACCCTTTTTGTGAACTAGGTGCGAAAAAAAATTGCATTGTTTTATGCTGCAAATTAACACTACTAATCCTCATAACATTGAAGCCTATGCGGCCTATTACCACTCGGCCTGTACAGTAGACTAATGTATTTTTCAGACATCATGCTATTTGTAAATTGAAATCTGTATGTTCAAAATTGTTCAGGGTGGTATTTTGGATCACCAATGATCGCACCAGTATTGGTAATCCCCGGTTACAAATCAATGATCAATGTTTAGGTTAGAGCGAGTGCTCTCGTCATTAGATTGTATTGATCTTTATATATAAAGACGTGAGAAAAGTGTTGAAAACATTAATAAATTTTGAAAAATTAACATTAATTTCAACCACAAAATGACAGAAATATTAAGAGGAGAGACACCCGAAGATATTAATCAGAAATGTCTGGACGTTTGCCACCGATATATGGACGGCATTTGGAGAGACATAACTACGGATCAGCTGAGTGTGAGTCGGATTAGCGGCGGTTTTACAAACCTTATGTTCCGGTGCTCTTTGACGGGCGGCGCCGAACCCGTGGCCGACGAACCCCGGGATGTGTTCGTCCGCTTTTACGGACCGAAATGGATTCCGGAAACCGAAGCCGACGAACGGCTTTCAGACGTTATCGTCAATCTGTTGGCGTCGGAGCACGACTTGGGACCCAAAATATACGGCATATTCAGCGACGGTATGATTGGACAGTACATCCATGTATGTAATTATCACTCCATTTAATAAAAACTAGTTAAAAACAAAACACTAATTAATTAATACAATGATAGAGCCATCACATGAGTCTCGACGACCAAAAGAATCCGCAATTAATTCGGGAATTCGCGCGAAAACTGGCCAAATATCACGCCTTACGAGTGCCGACCTCTCGGGACACTCTTGACTGGCATCGGCGGACATTTGAAGACTTTTACAATCGGGCGCATAAAGTGACGCCCGGATTGGACCAAATGCTTCGCGAAGTCGGTGCCAACAACTTCTTGGACAACGATCTCCGCGAAGAGAACCAATGGCTGCACCGGTGTATAGACGCCATCGGATCGCCAACTGTCTTCTCCCACAACGATATCTTCGCCGGTAATATACTGGTCAACAATCAGATCCGAGAGGACAGTGACACCAATGTCACCTTGATCGATTTTGAGTACTCGTGTTATTTGCAACGGGGTTTGGATTTGGGCTTTTTTGTTAACGAGTTCGGCCGCACTGCCAATTGGGCCGATCGGCAAAAGTTGCCGCTACCGGACGACCAATGGATACGCGAACTGTTGGGTCACTATTTGGACGAATCGGTTCGAATCCATGGCCAAGAGTACGCCCAGAAGCCCGAGAATCAGATGGACTATCTGTTACGGGAAGTGAAGTTTTTTGCGTTAGTGGAGGACATGTTTATAATCGTGTTTTTCTACTTCACGGCCGACGAAAAACGGTGGCAAACGTCCAGACATTTAATTTCAATGTCTTCGGGTGTCTCTCCTCTGTATATATCTGTCATTTGTGTTGAGTTTAAAGTTATTGTGAAATAAAAATAAAGTTTACTTTCGAGATATTTATTTATTGATAAAACTTGTGAGAAATTTTGGTTCACTACTTATAACAGTATACTGTATATCACTGGAAATGCCACTCAAACACACGTCTCATTTTCTTAACGTTTATTTATCTCTTTATATACAAGGATTACCAACACTGATCTTGATTTAAACATTTAATATTTAATAATAATAATAATACCTACGTTAAATTTGATACCTAAAACATATATCTAAAACTTTGATACATTATTTACAAATTCAATTTATTTCTCTACATCCAGGCTAAAACATTGGTTTAATGGTAGACTGAATACCCCGTAGTATTATAATAATTTAATGATAATAATTTTGTTTGCATTCAACATATTTAATATTGCATTTACAGTATTCAGCATTCTTTAATTATCAAATAAATTGATTATAAAATAACAAGGTCACTGTAAATATAAAATGTGATTGTTTATCATTTTATAAAATATTGTATAATTATTATTACAATTTAACTAAAAATTAAATTTAATTATAAATGATAATATTGTAAATGGAATTTATAAATTTAACTTTGTTTAAAAATATTCTTATTACAATAGCAATAAACTAAAATAATATAAATAAAACCATGTTTCAATATTTTATTCTCAAATAAAATTTGTATTAACTAATAGTCGTTAGTACAAAAATTAATTACAATAATTTTACGTTATTTAGTAATTATTAATATCGAGGTAATGGTGTAATTCCTAACTTTTCAAACTCGTTCCGACGCTTAATATATCGGCCGTAATACGTGTCCGCTCTTCGCTATAGTCAACAATAAAACAATTAATTAAATATTAAATATAAAACATACAAATACTGACCAAAATCTCTCGCCTATCGTTACAATCGGGGGTTTCATTGATGGCATAAAATGGGAAAATCAGATATATTTCCATAACTAATGTAAAGAATTTTGTTTCCCTTAAGAGAACATCCATTGAATTCTCGGGTCTTTCGGCGAACTCTTTGCCCCGAATTTTCACCGATTCGTCCAAATAGTGGCCCAAAAATGTTTGGATCCACTGATCGTCGGCCAGAGGCAGGTCTTCGCGGATAAAGAAATTGCTGTCTCTTCCGAACTCATTCACAAAGAAACCCAAATCTAATCCGCGATAAAAATGTCGGGAATATTCAAAATCAATTAACACCACATTATTATCATTGGTCTCATTGATCCGATTGTTAACCAATATATTTCCCGTAAATATATCGTTATGTGAGTAAACTATTGGCGATTTCATGGCATTCATGCATTTGTGTAGCCATTCGTTCTCCTCTTTCAGATTATATTTCAACAGATTGTTGGCCTCAATCTCTTTGAGCAGTTGATCCATATGTGGTGTCTTAAGATGTGCGCCATCGTACCATCTATTGAACGATGTTTTTAGCCAATCATAATCGCGAGCTATGGGCACATTTAGTGAATGAAATTTTGCTAATTTTTGAGCAAATTCTTTGACAATCGCCGGATTCAACTGATCTTCAGGGCTCATGTGATGACCCTTTTATCAATGGCAAACAAATTTGGATTAGTTTTAATTAGGATTAAAATAATCGCATTATAATTATAAGGTATGATTACATACATCAATATATTCTCCAACAATGCCTTCGCTGAACATTCCGTACACTTTTGGCCCCAAATTGTGTTCAGAAGTCAATAAATTGATGATAATATCAGTCAATCTTTCGTTGGATTCGTTGTTATCTTTAACCCATTTCTTGCCATAAAATCTAATGAACACATCCTTTGGTTCACTGGAGACCACATTTATATCATCTCTTAGAGAGCATTGAAACAACAGATTAGTATATTGACGTTCAATCTTTTTTAGTATATCACAAATACAGATTCACAGTATGCCATAAAAAGGTGGCGCAATGGTTAGTAAAAAGTATAGGTTTGTCAGTATTAAACGAGAAACACCGCGTGAAGGTCAACCTAATAGTTTCTCGCCCATTTTTATAAGTGGTTGGCTTTCAGTCTATCAACAAAACGTCATTTTAAAACAAAATTTAATTATTAAATACACATTTTAATGAGATTTCTGATATTGTTTGCGATTATTAACAATTTTATTAAGATTTGACCTTATGTGTATAATATATTCATTCATTCAAATGATCAATAATTTTTGATCTAAACTTTAAAACATAATTTTAATGTTGTTTATGACAACTGGCTTTTCTACTTCAAGTTCCCAAAAGGTACTACTTTGAACAAGAGTAGATTAGTATATCCGCCGCCAACTCTTCGCACAATTATTTGATCCACAGTTATATCCCTCCAAACGCCGTCCAAATATCGGTGACAAACGTCTAGACATTTGTTGTCAATGTCTTCGGGTGTCTCTCCTCTGAATATATCTGTCATTTGTGTTTGAAATTAATATAAAATAAAAATAGTTTTAATAATTATATGGTTTTAATTAATATAACAACTTATGGGAAATTTCAGTCAATGCTATACATCTGTACACTTATATAAAGTACTTCTCAATGTAATCACTAAATGTACTCAACGGACTCAAGGCTATGATTTATTTGATTATTCCTGTATTACCAACATTAGTTTTATAAATTATTATTTAATCAAAATGCTAAATATATTTTTAAATTTTTAAACAAATTTACAAATATCTTCATATTTCTCGGAGTAGTTAATCCTGGAATATTAATTTGAAGTTAATTATGGTAATAATGTTATTAATTTCAAATGTAAAGCTGAATAATTAGTATTATTCTCGGTATTACAATTTCATGGTCATGATTATGCGTTAACGTTTGTATTTGTGGTACAATATTACATTATTATTGATAAGTTTCACTTAAACATTTATTCAATTATAAGTTTTAATTTTAACATGTATAAGTTATGCAGAATAACATTTACAAATTGTATGTTAACTAATATTTAATTATGTTAAATGCCTAAATGCTTAAACTTTACATAATATTGTATTTATTAAATCGATGGTTTAAAATAGTAAATAAATATTGAAAACAATATGACAACATTAATTTAATCAATTTGATTTTTGTACAAAAAAATAATTAAAATAATTTCAATAGATTTTTATAATAATCATTGTAATAAACATGAAGTTATACAAAAATTACTTTATACAAAAATACAGTATTTTAAAATCACATCTATCAGGGTATAAAATAAATTATTTGTTTATTAAATTATAAAATAAAACAACTAGCAAATTTTTTAAATTCAAACTATTACTACAACTAGATTGTCTAAACTTTTATTTACAAAATATACTCTAACACACATAAAATTTCGCATAAATAGCATACAATTTAGTTGCATTTGAATAACAAAATTATTTTATATTAATTATAAAAACTTCAAAATGTGGATTGAATTAATTTTAAATATTTTATAAACAAATTATGTCTAATAGCGGGGTATGGGTGTAATGCCATCATGTTCAAACTGTTGCCGGCGCTCAAGCCACCAACCGTAAAACTTATTCGCCTTTTTCT